TATCTTCACATTTTCTCGTATCTTTCTTATGACTTTTTTCCCCCCAAAGGTTTAAAATTTTCATTGTAGAGGTCTTTTTGTTCTTTATTAAGTTTGTTCTTAAGTGTTTTATTTTCTTTGAGGTTATTGTGGCTAGGAGTGTGTCCATGCTCTCCTTCTCTATGTTTGTTTGTGGTGTATAGATTGATTGTGCAAGTTGATTCTCTATGCTGCTACATTGCCAAATCTGTTTATTGTTTATAGATGTTTTCTGGTGAAATTTTTAGGATCTCCCATGTATACTATTATCTCATCTGCAAACAGAGAAAGCATGATCTCTTTCTCAATTTATAACCTTTCAATTCCTTCTCTTGCCCTCCTGCACCAGCTAGTACTTCAAGCACAATATTGTAAAGTAATGGGGATAGTCACTCCATCTCATTCCTGACTTTGGTGTGATTGTTTCAAGCTTTTCTTCACTTAGGATGATATTAACTGTTGGTTTCTCATAAATAGCTTTTGATATATTGAAGTATATTCCCTCTAGTCCTACACTCTCTAGGACATTTATCCAGAAGGCATACTGAATTTTTTCAAATGCTTTTTTTCTAGATCTTTTGAGATAATTACTATGACTTTTATCTCCAATTCCATTTGCTTTGACTTGCTTGAGTTTACTGATCCCTGCATATCAGGGATGAAGTAGACTTTGTAATGGGGATATTTTTTCATTAGCAAGCATTTTAAGTTGTACTTTGAGTCTATGTTCACCAACAATATTGATCTCTAGTTTTTCTTTTTCATTGTGTCTTTTCCTGGTTAGTATTAACATTGGAGTGAAACTGGATCCCTATATTGAGTTTTGGGAATGTACCTTCTGTTTCCTTTTTCTCTCTTTCTCTTCTTATCCTACTCTTCTCCTCCTCCTTCTCCTCCCTGTCCTTGTTCCTCTTTTTCTAGTGGTAAGAAGGCATGCTCGAAGCTCTTTTTTTAAAAGTGTGGTAGAATTATGCTGTCAACCAATCTTTCTTCCATTTTTAATGTAAATTAGAAACAAGATTGTTTTATATATCAATTCCAGTTCCCTCTCCCTCTTCTCCTCCACTGCCCTGAACTAATACCCTACCTATCCCATACCCCGTCTTCTCCCCAGAGAGGGTGAGGCCTTCCATGGAGGAATCTATTTTGGTGGGTTTTTTTTTTTTTTTTGGTTTTTGTTTTGTTTTGTTTTTCTTTTGGTTTATTGAGACAGGGTTTTTCTGTAGGTTTGGAGACTGTCCTGGAACTCTCTTTGAAGACCAGGCTGGCCTCGAACTGGAGATCTGCCTGCCTCTGCCTCTGCCTCCTGAGTTCTGGGATTAAAGGTGTGTGCCACCAACACCTTGCAAACAGTAGCGCCCAAACAGGACCATGAACCATGGGAGATCTTCAGTGTCTGTCATATCCTTTGGGATAGGGCCTAAGCCCTCCCCCACGTGTCTAGGCTGAGAGAGTATCCCTCTGTGTGGAATGGGCTCCCAAACTCCTTTCCTATGCTAGGGATAAATATTGATCTACTATAAGAGGCCCCATAGATTTCCGAGGCCTCCTAACTGACACCCACATTCATGGGGTCTAGATCAGTCCTATGCTGGTTTCCCAGCTATCAGTCTGGGGATCAAGAGCTCCCCCTTCTTCAGGTCAGCTGTTTCTGTGGGTTTCACCAGCTTGATATGGACCACTTTGCTCATTGCTCCTCTCTCTCTGCAACTGGATTTCAGTTCAGTTCATTGTTTAGCTGTGGTGTCTGCATCTACTTCCATTAGCTGCTGGATGAAGGCTCTAGGATGGCACATAAGTTAGTCATCAATCTCATTATCAGGAGAGGACATTTAAGGTAGTCTCTCTGTTGCTTACATTGTTTGTTGGTGTCGTCTTTGTATCTCTCCAGATATTTCTGTAGTGTCTGATTTCTCTTTAAACCTATAATGTCTCCCTCTATTATATAATCTCTTATCTTGCTCTCTTCTGTTCTTCTCCCAACTCAACCTCCATCATGTTTTCCTCATCCCTCCTCTTCTCCCCTTCTCATTCTCCTAGTTCCCTCTCTCCTCCACCCATGCTCCCAATTTGCTCAGGAGGTCTTGTCCCTTTCCTCTTCTCCAGGGGACCTGTATGTCTCTCTTAGCTTCTCTGGCAGTGTGGATTGTAGGCTACTAATACTTTTCTCTATGTCTCAAATCCATATATAAGTGAATACATAACATGTTTGCCTTTTTGTGACTGGGTTATATTGCTCAGAATGGTTTCTTTTAGTTCCTTGACTTGCCTGTGGATTTCAAGATTCCATTTTTCCCCTCTGAGTAGTACTCCATTTTGTAAATGTGCCACATTTTCTTTATCTATTCTTCAGTTGAGGGGCATCTAGGTGGCTTCCAGGTTCTGACTATTATAAATAATGCTGCAATGAACATAGTTGAACAGATGTCCTTGTTGTATGAATGTGCTTCTTTTGGGTATATGCCTAGGAGTGGAATTGCTGATCTTGTGGTAGACTAATTCCCATTCTCCTGAGGAATCGCCATACTGATTTCCAAAGTGGCTGTAGGAGTTAGCACCCCCACCAGAAGTGGAGGAGTGTTCCCCTTTCTCCACATCCTTTCTGGCATAAACTGTCATTGGTGTTTTTGAATTTAGCCATTCTGACAGGAGTAAGATGGTATCTCAGAGTTGTTTTGATTTGCATTTCCCTGATGGCTAAGGATGTTGAGTAATTTCTTACATGTCTTTCATCCATTTTAGATTCCTCTATTGAGAACTATCTATTTATTCTGTACCCTATTTTGTAATTGGATTATTTGGTGTTTTGGAAACTAGCTTCTTGAGATCTTTGTAAATTTTGCAACACCGCCCTCTTCAGATGTGGGGTTAGTGAATATCTTTTTTCCCATTCTGTGGGCTGTTGTTTTGTCTTGTTGACTGTGCCCTTTGCCTTACAGAAGCTTCTCTGGTTCATCTGGTGTTTTTTATTAATTGTTGATCTCAGTGTCTGTGCTACTGGTGTTATGTTCAGGAAGCAGTCTCCTGTACCAATTCATTCAAGGGTAATTCCCACTTTGTCTTCTAATAGGTTCAGTGTGGGTGGATTTATGTTGAGGTCTTTGATCCATTTGGACTTAAATTTTGTGCATGGTGATAGATATGGATCTATCTGCAGTCTTCGACATGACAGCATCCAGTTTTGCCAGCACCATTTGTTGAAGATGCTTCCTTTTTTCCATTGCAGTGCAGTATGGCCCTAGGCACTTAGATGGTGGATTACTCTTCTGAACTTTAACCCCACCAGTGGCTTGAACACAACATCACTAATAGCCAGCCCACAGCTTCCAATGCCCATGAACTATAGCAACAGATAGAAGCAGACCGCATCTTTGAGTCACACAACACCTGCTGATGTTTTGGTGTTATGGTGCAGACTTTCTGACAATATTAACAGGAGCTAGTGTTAAAGCCCTCAAGTCTAGGATCTCTGGACATCCAGAGTTTGGCAAGTCTCTGAAGCTCATCTAGTGGCTAAGGACTGCTGCCACTTATCTCTTCACAGTGTTCATTGTCATTGTTGCCTCTGCTTTCTGCCTCTAACTCTCTTCAGTTGCCCTTTCATTGCCTTAGATGCTGCCTCTATACTCTTCTGTTCATTGTGACCTCTCCAATTCTAACAGCACTAAAGAGCATAAGTAGACAACCAGGGGAACCTAAGTTTAATTGCACACACATGTACACCTACCTATATGGCACATAAAGCCATCTACTGAAGCATAGACAATCTACCAGTGACAACATTCCTGAAGAAAAGTGACTCTCCTTCATCCAGCAGTGATGAACTGCAAAGAGCTCCCCAAAATATCAAAAAGAGTGCACTGCTGTGGGAGTTTATGGGACCCTGTTGTTTATTATTTTCTTTCATTCTTTCCTTTCACTTGTGTCTGTGTGCCAGCGTGTGCATGTGTGTGTGTGTGTGTGTTACATTCTTTTGAGTGCACAAATATATATATACTTATGTATGCCCCCACAAAAAGCAGAAGAGGTTGTCAGTTGACTTTTCTCATTCTCTACTTTATTCCTTCGTAATAGGATAACTTGCCAAACTGTAAACTTGCCATTTTGTCTAGAGTGACTGGCCAGAAAGATCCAACTTTCTCCACCCTCCACTGCTGGGGTTGCAGGCATGGGTAGCTGTCTCCATATTTTCACATAGATGTTAGTAATTCCAACTCAGCTCCTCATGCTTGCACAGAAAGCCCTCTTGCACAGTGTGTCATGTCCTCAGGTCCAGACTGTATGCTTTTTGAATTAAAGAAAATGTGAAAATTATAATTAAAAACTAGGATGCTGACTATGAAGGCTGAGGTGGTGCAAATCCAGAAATGAGATGATATTAAAAAAATCTCAAATTGCAGACTTTAAAAACGAAGTTGTAGGGTCTTATTGAATGATATGGTGACTACAATTAACTATAATATAGTATACTCACAGCTATAAAAATAGACCTTAAGTAGAATCATAGAAAATGATGTACCTGTGAAGCAATAAATGCTCTTTGTTTCACATTATTTCACCATGCAGTATCATATGTAAATGTAGCATTGCCCACCACAAAATGAATGTAACTGTTACTGAAATCTTGAAAAGCAATAACAACAGTGAGTATGAGTAAAACCTTACTACGGACTCATCAATGTGTTAGCTGGGTTTTAAATCCCAGCAGAACTGAACTACACTGAATGCTGATTCTTGGCTGTTGGTTAAGGAGTAAGCATGCCTGCTCCAGTCAGTACTACTCTGGTCATCTTTGACATGTATTTTCCTCAAGATAGGTTGTCAGGTGTAGATCCTGGTGTAAAGAGGCAAAAGACAAAGGGTTTGATGTGAATTGTTTATCTGTCTTCTAACTTTTCCGACCACCAAGAGATGATTGTTCATAGATTCATTCATTCCAGGAGCTCTCGCCTACTCCTGTTGGATAGATTCTGAGATCTTTGATGGTGGCAACTGGAGATATGGGACTCAGGTGCCTGCTGCATGCCACAGGTAAAGGGAAAAGGTTTCTCTCATCTCCTTGTGGCTTTGCTATTGTAGCATTTCTTACTTACCATAATTGTTAGTTTCTCCAGCAACAGTGTCATGTGACTGCTATTAACTCTCTGTGCTGCATTTCTTCTTTTGAGATTCCTCAGGCAGTGCCTATAGGTACCAGAGAAAATGAAAACACCCAGTGAACAAAACAAAACCAAACAAAAGCAAAAGCTGACATTTTCAATAGAAAAGCAAACTATCACATAAGCTCACAGATTTACATGAATATAAAGCCATAAAATTTTCATCATCATCATCATCATCATCATCATCATCATCAATCATCATCCTTAAACAACAGTGCCCAAAACTGTGCAAAATGTTCTTGGACCTGACATATAAAAATGAGGTTAAAAATGATTAATTGTGCAGCACAGATTAAAAAATAGTTTTGTATTTTATTCATATCTCCTTTGTCTACTCAATTTGATTCACTTCCTTCTCTGTCATTGCCCAGGTTTGGTTTTTCTGTCTTATAGGAAGGGTCATAAAAGATCAGGAAGGTGACTATGAATATTAAAATCAGCATTAAGTGCCCTATGATGATGGAGGCAAACTACCTGGAGATGAATGTGCATCTCCTCCTTGCTGTGCAGTGCAAATTAACAATCAAAACATGTCTTGCATTCATGGCCTCAGGTCAATGTAATAGAGATAATTCTTCAACTAAGGTTCCCTTTCCCCATTTGATAACCATGATCAGCCATCACATTATCCATTGCATTTTGCTTTATCAGCTATCTCCCAATCTTGCCATAGCTCTTCATCAATTAAACTATCCACTGAATAATCCATCTTCTCTTTATTTTCACACTTAGGTGATTGGCTTGTAATTTCAATGAACTATTGTCTTGACTGAACATGAATTGTTACCTCTCAGAGCTACCAAGAATAGTTGTGAGTTCTCTTGTTTACCCAAGGTTTAGCTCCTTCTCTGCAAGGTTGGCTGGAGTGGTCTTCTTAGAATAGCTGGAAACATTTTAGAAGTTGTACTTATCCAGAATTTAATATGTTGTAATTAGATGCAAACATAGATTAGATTGCCACAGTGCCCTGAATATGTTACTCAGAAAGGTTGGTGAGGCAGGGGGGATTCCACAAGAGTTTCCCAGAGCACTCTACTTGTTCTTATCTTGTCACCTTGTTTATCTCATACTTAGCAACAATCCCTCTCATTTATCTTCTTCAGAGTTTCCAACATCACAGTCTTAACCCTAACTTTCCTTTTGACTCTTTGTTTTCCTTGAACAGTACAAATGTCTGTTCAAAAACATGTCAGTAGAATCAGATATCTGTAAAACACGGCTATTCAGTCCCAATATGCCACTCTCCTTGGATCTTCAGGGTCCTCCTTGGTAGGATTTGGGGAAGGAGGAGAAGTAGAGTTTGAGAGAGACAGAGAACAATCAAACTTCAGGCAAAGGGTTTGTTACGGATCCTAATGAGCAATAATGTGAAATGGGTTTCACCCATGTCAGAGAGCACAAAATTATTTTAAGGTTCCCTACATGAGAGTAGGGAGAAGAAAACTGCTGTGTCCAGGGAATTAGGCCCAGGGGCAGGACACTTCAGTTAGACTTAGAGGTGTAGCTTTTGTATTTTTGCTTGTGCAGGTGAAGGAAAGGTTCTGATGATAACCCCTGGATAAGGGGCATGAGGAACAGCTTGTGCTTAGTGCATAGTGGAAAGCTTCTGGCTTTAGCCATTCTCCATTGGGGGGGGGATCTGTTATCTAGAAATGTCTGATCCAAGGAAGGAGGAGACTTATCTCTCATGACATCTGTGAAATGGTATGGGAGGCTTTTTGTATCAGCTAGAGGGTATGAGGTCCAACACACAGTCTGCTTTTCTACTTTCCACTCATCTTCCTGAGAACATCAGCATCCCTGCAGCTTAAATGCCCCCTGTAAACACTATCCCCACCAGCCTTGTGTATCACTTGAGCATAAGGAATATGTTCAATGTGAGTAAAGATGTACCACACTCCTGAAACGTACTAGATCAGAGTCTCAAAAGATACAAAACGAACAGCATTTTAAATAATCTTTACACCAATATATATTTTTCTAATTACACATGATTACATGGTAGAAGGCTAATGTCTCTACCCTCTTATATTATATAAAATATAGCAATGAAATCAGCTTCACCTTCTCGAGGGACTATGTACTTTTTCATGACATACATGTCTGGAACATTTAAATCAGAGCACATGTGGAGACTCATAGAATACTTTCATAACATTAGATTCACTGGCATTCCTTTTGAAGATGGGCACATTTGTTGCCTGTCTCCCAAAAGCCAAATAAGCAGTCATGGTTGCTGTGTTGGGAAAGAAACTCTTTGGCAGTACACCTGTCCCTCAGTTGACCATGCCATTGGAAGTAAGACCTCAGTTCCTGGAAGTAACCTCAGTTAAACTAATTGGATCACCAAGGTAGACATAAGTAGAGTCTTTCCTTTGAATTGCTATTAGATTCTTGTCCTCTTTTGCTTTATGATGCTGTGGTAAAAAAATAAATAAATAACTTAGGGAAGAAAAGATTTATGGTAGCTTACAATTACAATTGTTATACAGAGAATTCAAGATAAGAACACAAAGAATTAAATGATGAAGAGACCAAAGAGGAATGCTGCCTATTGACTTGCTTCCCATGGCTTGGTCAACCAGCTTTCTTATCAACCCTGGACCACCTGCCCAGGGCTGGTACTGCCCCCAGTACTTTGGGCCCTCCCACATCAATTACTAATCAAGAAAACAACCACATAAAAAAACCACTTCAGTAAAGATTCCCTCTTCCAAAATATGCCATGTTTGTATTGAGTTGGCAAAAATCAGGCAGTGCATTTCTCTTTCTGAGAACAATAAAAAACAGACACAACCAGAAAAGTCATCCAACATATGAATTCATTTTGCCTTGTGCTTTTCTTCATATGGTGACTATCTTTAGATTCATATACAATGCCTGCACTGGAAGGAGGGACCCCTAAATATAGAACGAAGACTGTGGGTATGGTATCTGTGTGCTAGTCTTGACGAAACATCTGAATTCACTGATGGGTTCACAGCTACAATAGGATGCACTTTTCTCTCTTCAGTATTTTCATGCTCATCACAATTCACTATGACCACTGTAGTGAGCTAATGTGCACGAGTATAAGAGTCTTCTCTGTAGGGCAGACAGAGGCCATAACACTCCTAAGCAGAGCTAGAGCCCCAAAGCAAGCCAATGAGAATATTCCCTCCTCTTTCCATTTCAGCTCTTCGTGTCCTGATGGTCTGGTCAGTGGTACAACTGCAGAATGTTTCAGGTGAGTCTGTTCATGGATAAAGCCTGGGGAAAAGAGTTCACTTCACTTCTAAGTGAATTCACTGTTAAGTGTGGAACATTTTATGACTTATATTAAGCACCATTGTCATACATCTAACATCTTCATCTTCACTATCATTGTTTCCATCACTTAGCTGAGCAATTACACATATAATTTCATTTGATGTTCATGATATCACTATGATAAGATGCCATAGTTATGAAGAAAACGAAATCCACACATGATAATTGGTTCTCTAGATGAGGAGCTGGCTCCAAGTTGCATAACTGAAAGATGCTACCCTATGTTCTCCACCTAAACTTGTGTCATTACTGGCATTGTGATACATGTTTTGAACTCCGGTCATCATACTTACACATCAATATTCCTTCAAAGCATATTTAAATTAGCAAATAAGGCATCTCCACAGCTCTTGAAGCTGAATCTTTTGTAGACCCATTCCTGTCAGTCATTGATGTACAGAGCCACTCCTGATGGGAATGAATTACTAACTTATCGTCTCGTCAGCAATGAAGACTTGATAACTAAAGAAAGCTCCCAGGAAAGGAAATATAAGGTCCCCTAACTGAAATCTGAAAGCTAGGAAAATAGTTATTTATGTAAGAATATGGATGTGGGGAGGCATCCAGGTCATCTATACGAAGAAGTGGGATAGCTACAAAAGAGAAAGGACATGAGACAATGCGTAAATGTATTCTGTGTTCTCTGCAGCATCCTGCCCTCAATGCAGTGAAAATGCTGACTGTTATAACAGCACCCACTGCATTTGCAAAGACGGATTCTGGACAGGACCGGATAGTAGAATAATTATTGAGCCACATGTGAAATGTGAAGGTAAAGAAGTCTGTCTTCATTTGTTTTCTGTTGTTGTGATTAACTCTCAAGGCAACCTGAGGAGGAAAGGGTTCCTTTCCGTTACAGAGGGAATTCAGGAACTCGGGGTGAGAAACTGGAGATAGAACGTGAGGCAGAAACCGTGGAGGAGTGCTGCTTATTGTATTGTTCTTCGTGGCTTACTCAGTGTGGTAATTTGAATGGTCCCCATGGGCTTGTATATTTAGCTGCTTGGTTCTCAGTTGGTGTAACTGGGAAGGATTAGGAGGTGTGGCTTGTTGAAAGTGGTGTGTCACTGGAGGTGGGCTTTGAGGTTTTGAAAGCTCATGACACTCCCAGTGAGCTCTCTCTTGGTCTCCTGCCTATGGATCAAATGAGATGTAATCTCCCAGCTACTGTTCCAGTACCATGTGTGCCCATCTGCTGCCATGTTTCATGTCATGATAAGCCTCCAATCAAATACTTTCTTTTATAGATTGCTTTTGTCATAATGTCACTTCACAACAATAGAACAATCTATGGAAGCCCCTTTTTCAATTGAGGTCCTGCTTTCAAAAACCCCTTTGTTGACCTATGTTGACAAAAAAAAAAAAAAAAAAAAAAAACCCAAAAAACACAAAGTGTTAGTTTACTTGTTGTTAAAAATTCTTATGCACCTTAACCAAACATTGATAGGTCATGCAGATTTCAGAGATCTTTAGAAGACTCATTGACAAAGTAAAGGTATTAACCAAGTTCATTTATATTATACTCTTTGGACAGACAGGGGCCATGTGGCTCTTTGGCTCAAGGAATCTTTGATCTGTAGGCCTCTTTATTAGTTTCATTTCTCTTGTGAAAATGTACCCTGAAATAAGCAACTTTGAGGAGCAATAGTTTGTCTTAGCTCACTGTATCAGATTATAGTCCGTCACTGTAGAAAAATCAAGGTGGGAGGAACGTTAAACAGCTATTCCCAGCCACAGTCATGAACAGAGACAGAATGAAGGAGTCCATACCAGATATGAGGCAGCTATCATCTTTTCACTCAGTCTTGGGCCCAGCTTAAGAAGTGGTTCTCTTCACATTCAGGGTGGGAGGTCTTCACACCTCAATAAAAGGAATCCTTCACAGGTATGCCCCCAAGCCAACAGAATCTACAGTATTTCTCTCACTGAGACTTCTTTCCCAGCCATTCTACCTTCTGTCATGTTGACAACTAAAACTGATAATCACAACTCTAGCTCTAAATTGCATCAGTTTGGCAATTAAAACTAATCACTGTACACTCCCCTCACCTAAACTTCAACTATGCTCTGCCAGCAGTGAAAAATGGATGTTCAGAAGGACTGGTTGTGTTATTATGGGAAGAAATCAGAATCCTGGGAGAACCTGCTGTGATTTCTAAGTTCTTGTGTCCTGGAACAGTGAATTGGATCTGTGACATATGGGCAGGTGGAGCAAGAGAGTTAGTTTATAAAGAAAAAAGCCAACAGTATTCCTTAAGGTAGAAGAAGAAGACAGAGTTAACATTTTATACACATCAGTTTTGTTCCTGTATGGGTCATTACATAATACCTACTTCCTCTGTGAATTCCTTAAGCTTTGCTTGGCCCACACCTTATTTTATTAAGTGTATCCCTGCTAGAAAGATAATTCCAGTCTTTAAGCCAAATGTATTCCTTAATATATAAATATTGATGCCCCTCCCTCCTCCCACCTATCTCTTGAGACAGATGAACATGATGTCAGGAATGCTGTAAGCAGTATTCTCTTTCAACATCACTTTTAACAATTTCTCATAATGACCTCATTTATCCTTTCTTTATTCTCATATTAGATACATTTGGTTAATGTGATAAACACCATGACCAAAAGTAACTTATAAAAGAAACAGTTTGCTTTGGTTTATGGTTTTAGAAAAGGATTCTACAGTGGTGGGGATAGACATAGCATCAGGCATCTGTATAAACAGACAACATGACTGCTTCATTGTAAGGCTAAGAGGGAAGTTTTATTGTTGATATGAGATAGATAATAGCCGGAGACATCTGGAAAGAGTCCAGAGCAGAGACAGAAATAGATTTAACATGGCCAGAAGACTGGATATGGCCAGGACTGGAGAGAGAATAGCAGGGGGTGGAGAACAAAGAAAACATAGTGAAAGATGTAGGAGCAAAAAAAAAACATAGTAAGAAAATAGGAACAAAAGAGGGAGGGCAGGGTTGTAAGGAGTGTGTAAGTGGAGGGAGGAGGCATAGCCTATAGCTAGATGGAGTTTAGGGTAGGGGAAGAGGTGAGAAGGATTAGGATGCTAGCATGAACTTTGGAATGTAACAGTCATTCGTGATATTGAGGGGGCCTAGAGGACAGAATGAGTTTTGATATGCTCAAAGGTGCCAGAAGTAGTCAGTCATCTGTCCCTTTTGCCAGAGGTAAGGTAAATGACTTATTTCAGTAGATGGCAACCAGTTTCACAATTTCCCAAGGAATGCTAGTTTTTATCTAACTGCCTCCTATAGTCTAGGTTGAGATCACTAGATTTCCTTTTGGAGTTTGGGAAATTAGAGTTTCCTTTGGATCTAACAGTATCCAGAACCTGAGAATTCACATTTCATCCACAAATAGGAAACAGAGCAAATGAACAAGAAGTGAGCCAAGGCTATAAATCCTGAGAGTCTTTGCTCAGTGGTGTGCTTCTTCCAGAAAAGTTATACACTATATATTTTCTGAAACCTATACAATCAATGCTATTTACCTGAATGCAAATGACGGAACTCCATAGACTTGAATTCCAGATTAAATAAAAAAAGGCAACAAAGGGAAAAAAAAAACAGCTTAGTGCCAGTATTCATTTCTATCTGCAGCCTGGTTTCTTATGTAATGTGACCAACTACCTCACATACCTGTAGCTGTGTCTTCCTGCTATCAAGGACTGTTTCTCACACTTATGAGTCAAAATAAGCCATTCCTTTCCTAAATTGCTTTTGTTATATGTTTGGAAACATAATAAGTAAACAGTTTCTGAAGAAGAATTGTGTTAAGTTTACAACTCAATTCAAGGAGAACTGTCATCTTTGTCTTACTGATTTATCCTAACAAAGAATAAAGGATATTGTATGGTAAATTTACAAGTGAAATCTAACAGTAGAGATGCTACAGGCAAGAGAAAGAGATACAGCTCTATGAAAATAAAAGTGAGTACTTTTCTTCATTTGCAGATATTGATGAGTGTCAATTGGGGATACCAGTGTGTAAGGATGTGTCATATTGTAAAAATAAAATCGGGACTTACATATGCAGCTGTGTAGTAAATTATCGTATCTTCAACTGGGTAGCTGGCATTGTTGATATTGAAAATCCTGAATGTTATGGTAAGTCTATACATACATTTTTTTCTATCATGCAAAGGGAGGTGAGTGGGTAGAGCTTGTGACAGCTATGCCACCATTGACTGGAATACTAAAATTATTTTTGTATCTTCATTCCTCATCCTTTTGCTATATTTGATCTTTAGCAGTGCAATGCCAATGGGATCAAATAACCATTTCTAAATCAGAACCTTCCAAATTTGTCTATAATGCAGGTCTCTTCCCATGTTCTACAAATGGGCAACTCTGAGTTTCTGCAGAACTTCACAGCTTCTTTATCTTGCACTAATACCAAATTCAGTTCACATGCCAATCTGTATTCACAGTAAACCCCTTGAGTTCATGCTAATACTCCCAAGCCTACCTTCATGTGCAACTCCTTTCTACAGCAATGACAAATCGGCTTCTCAAGATTTACAATATATTTTACTGCTCAGGTCACAGAGAATATCATGCTTTAAATGATGCTGCATGAGGAGATAGTACTTCCATTTACAAATTGAATTTAGTATACAAAGTAAAAATTTTTATTACATTTTTCACACAATAAATCTCGATGCTTTCCATTCCCCAACTCCTCTCACATCCTCCTCTCTTTCCTACTTACCTAACTTCAGGTATCCTCACCCCCTCCACCCCTTCTCCATCCAAAAACAATAATAAAACAGAACAAACACAAAGACAAAAATACCACTACATAAACAACATAAAAATGAAACAAATCTCCATCTCCTCCCTCCCCCTTCACACACACACACACACACACACACACACACACACACACACACACACACATAGATCATGTAGTCTGTTTTGTGTTGTCCAACTATATCTAGATATGGATCTTGCAATAGAATGTGGCTGATATATTCATTGACACTCCACTGGAGAAAACAGAAAACTGACCTTCCCTTTGCTGGCAGGTATCAATTGCATATAGCTTCTTGGTTAAGGTTGAGACATTATGTGTACTTCTCTCCCCCACCTTTTTTTTTTTTTTTTTTTTGGTTTTTCAAGGCAGGGTTTCTCTGTGTAGCTTTGGAGCCTATCCTGGCACTTGCTCTGGAGCCCAGGCTGGCCTCGAACTCACAGAGATCCGCCTGCCTCTGCCTCCCTAGTGCTGGGATTAAAGGCGTGCAGCACCAAAGCTCGGCAGACTTCCCCTTCTTAGAGCTGATATCTTCTCATTAGCAATTGAATTTAGGACAGAGTAGAAACTAAAATGAGTCATCTATAAATAGGAATAACAACAGAGTCAACTATGCTACCTACACATTGGAAATAACAAATTATCCCAGAAGTTATAGAATAAAACAAGAAATAATCCTACTTTTGAACACTTTGTATGATTAGAGGTCTAGGCATGGGTTAGCTGAGCTATCTACACCTGTCTCTTGGATTCAATCAAGGTGATTCTCAAAGGTACAATTCTATTCGGACCCTGAATTGAGGCAGTAACTATTACTGTACTGACATGGGTGCTGACAAGATGATTTCATGGTTGCTTTGTGTTTAATGTCTTTGTGTTTAGCAATGCTATTGATAGGTAACCCAGTATTCCTTAGAACTTATGACTCTCCTCAACCACCACCCAAGTATTGAAACTCAAGCATGCTTCAACACACCTGGACTTTTAAATTGTTTTTATAAGGTTTTCCTTCCAGGCTAGAAATAAAATAAATTAGCATGTTTGGTTTTTCACTAGCATCTACCCAGGTCTCTTTATACTCTGCTTAGTTTTGAGCAGTTACTCAAAGGATACTTTTGACTGAATTGTTGAACTGACAGATTCTTTATAGTGTGACTTTCACTGTGGAAATGAGCAAACATCTGTTTGTCTGAGATAGGGTGCCAATGGCAGGTGAGAAAAATGACATTACCCAATGTAGCTTGGTGAATGGATAAATTTACCGAAGTTATCCTCTGAATAAGGGATCATAAAAGGGCAGTGATGGCACTAAAAATCCCATTCTAGCATGGATGACAACTCACAAAAGCTCTGTCCCTAGAGAGATCTTTCCTGAGCTTTAAGCACTAGGATGACTGGAGAGTGTCTTCTCTCTAGACATTACTACTGCCTATGCAGCCCATGGTAAGAGCCTTGTGAATCTTCTAAGTTTTGTGTGCTTCCTGAGACTGGAATTGTTTACTCCTGAGTTTTAGCAAGCTCTCTTCAAAAATGGAACAATTAAGTTGTGAGGAAATAGCCATAAATGCTCTGCTCCTCCTTTCTCCAGCTCTCACACTCTTTCTGCCAGCTCTTCCACAATGTCCTCTAAGCCTAGGCTGTGGACACGATGTATTGATTATCTTTGCTGCTTCCTCCATGTCTGAGAATCAGGGAACCGTGCCACAGCAAGATGACTTACTCTGTGGATATGACACAATTACGAGTCTCTGCATTATATTTCTACCTACAATAAAGAGGTTTCTCTCAATGACTAATGTTAGGAAGACAATTTGCTGAAATTATACATTTATTAAACAGAACTCTTTGGGGCCTTTGACTTCTATGAGTGGCTTATAGTACCAGATGGAAGTTGTGAAGGAGACCTTAATTCCAACTAGGAAGCTGTCAGTTACACTCATAACACCCATGCCATGACTGCACCAGTGGGCATATCTTGTCTAGCATGTAGTGGAATAGCATACAGGATTTAAAATCAAATAAAACTGTTGATGACATTTCCACGGCCACAGTTCACATAGTCCTTTCCACCACTTTTGAAAGCCAGTCTATAAGGGGGGGAGGACATCCAATATGCCACAAACTTATTTATCTGTGTTCTTCAGCCAACGATTTTGGTGTCTTTAGCAATAGGGTTTTGCCATAAAGTTCTGTCATGCAACACTCAAGTATTGATAATAGTGCTTATTGTTTGTGGGGCTGTGTGCCTTCAACAATTCATAGGGAGTCAGGCCATCTCTGACACGAGGATTTTCCCTTACTGTCATGTCTTCTGGAGGGACACTTCCTACACACAATAGCTCTGTTCATTCTTCACATGCTTCACAAACTTGTAAGACACTCAAGGGTTAGTGTCACATAATGAAACTTTTTTTTTTAATGAGGGTGCACAGGACCTCAGACGTCCACCACCATTAACTCCAAGTAAGTACCAGTTGCTCACTAAAAAATAACCACTAACAAGAAAGCACAATATGAAGTGATTTCATCACTTCTATAAGTTATTTCACAAAAAGGACAACATCAGTGCTGCTGCATGGAAGAACACATAACTCTCTGTTGTCCTCCATTACTCATAGACATTTTCTATGAGTGCCTGGTCCTCATCAGTCAACTGCTGCACTGCTGTATATCTTGACTCAGCTGCCTTGAGGTGTTCAGCTCCACTCAGTCAGCGGGTGCAATGTCTTCTCGGTTCAACATGCTTTGAGCCATGGGCTACACCTAGCTTGTCAAACAGCCCCAGCCTGGGTAAACATTTTTTCACTCACTGTGCATTTTATACTATACACAGTGGGAAAGAAACCTGCCACAAATCAAGCTTAATCTTTCCTTCTTTGAACTGCCACATGGGTTTTCAAGGCATCTAGAAGCTCACTAGAACAACAGTTAGCTTTCTGGTAATTTCTTCCTTAGGAACTCCAGCTTAATACCAAACCTGCCACATTTGTCATCCGGTGACCTTAACACATCTCTCTGACTGCTTTTCTCTTCTCTCTTCCACTCTTGGTTACTTTAACAACTTTAGAACCCAATTTATAAGTTCCGGTAAATAGGAGACCTGCTCTTTTCTGAAGGGAAATGGTGAACAATGGGGTACAGGGGTACTGGGAAGAGTACAGGGACAGGGAACTGTGGTCAGGATGTAACATATGAGAGAAGAATAAATAAAAAACCATTCACATTCTCGAAAACCTCTTTACCTCATAGATGATTCAGCTTACAGGATTCAGCAAAGCCATTATAGGCCCGTGTCCAGCCCAAGCCACCTGCTAGTTCAACCACGATCTGCAATCTGTGAACACAGTCCTATAAGAGCCAATTAAATGGACATCAAATGGCACTTCTCTATTGCTCAGTTTCCTCAGTAATGACTGTCCTTCTTCTAGTGTGTTTCAATCAATAGTGTTAAGGAGATCTTATCTGGTAATGAACAGATGTCACCAACAGCTTTTATAAGACAGTCTATTAGAGACATTTTGGGGGCTTTTAGATGATGCATTCTTTGTCTCAAGGATTGATATGAAATAATAATAACACAATTTTAGCTTTCAAAGCACTCAGATTGATCATACCCACCAATCTGTTCCACAGCTTCATTAGCAAGGTTATAAAAATGTCTACTTGTTTGTTTGTTTAAAAGACTTCTTAATCCATGTCAGATGATTATAATTGTTTGTCATACCCAGCTATTAATAAGTGGCATCTGACTTTAAATTGTGTATTTCCTTTCCTTTCTGTTGGAAGTGCGACCTGATACTTCCTTCGGTCATTTTATCTTGCTATCTTCCACTCATCACTTTACGCTTTCCATAAGTCCAAACTTCTGGATCCCAGGAAGGATTCTTTACCACAGATTGAATTTACATTCTCTTACTTTTCAATCCAGCCTGGTCTAGGAAAAGCCAGCCAATGCCTGCGTCTTATATTCTCCCTTTTCTGCTTTCCATGCCGAATCAAGAGACCAATGTAATATCTTTCTCAATGTGATTCCTCTCCTATCTGCCAAGCTCTTTCTGGGAAGAAACCTGAACTCAGTTGCATGTTTTTATACACACAACAAAGGCCAAGCAATGGATGCCATAGCTCACTTTTGGCTCCTCGCACATATGCTAATTTCAAGAATTATAATGTATTTTCTACTCCATCAGCAGATTGGTGGGTATTCCTACAATGGCTTCAAGGACTCCAATCATCAATGATGCCTGCCACCACATACCAAGTAGAAGACGGCCACACTGTGATTCCTTCCACGGACACTCCACTCTCAAACAGCTTACCCTCAGTTGTTTATCCTACTTTCCATCACAGGGAGCAGGCTACCACCACTACAGCAAGAAGGCACAACATGCCTTACTATATGAGGAAAGGTAGCCATGTTGGGATTGCCTCTGCAGACATCTATCCTCAGAAACACCAGACACTATTACATCACCTATAATCCAACACAGGTGCCACATGGATGTTGCTTTCCAAATAGTCTCTGGTTTTGTTGGTGCCATATGACTTTTCTTGGATGATATGAACAAGTTATCTATTCACCCCATATTGAACACCATTGATAAATAAAAAAAAATGATTCTACTACATCTAACTTACTGAGCCAGTGAGTTTACTAGAGTTACTTACAACAGTATTGTTGAGTGGTTATGAATAAGAGCTATATCTACAAGCCCACACAGCAGGGATTGCAGCTCACTACAGACATTGAGCTCCCTTAACACATTTTTAAAAGTAGTTCATCATATCTAACTGGAAAATCTTCTCTCCTCATCAATTACTACTCCTTAAATAGCCAAGGGATGGGGGGGTTGTGAATCTTTTAAGTTTCATAAACTTCCTTGAGGCTTTTGAAGTTTGTTTACTTACTGAGTTTTAATCAGCCCTCCCCAGAAGAGAATGTTTCAATTCAGAGGAGATAGCTACACAGTAACGGTACTATTTCCCTTCTAAAATCCTAATATAGTGAAAGTATGTCTAAGGCCAAACATAAAAATATATCACAGTAGTAGCAAGGGCTTGAGAACAATAAAGGATTTGGTGAGAGTTAGGAAACAATGTGAAAGGAAGACAGCATGGAACATGAACAAAGACGGTTTACTTATATATTATGAAGGAAGAAATAACTTAAAATTCAACTTTTAAAAATGCTTTTATTTATTTTTGAGAATTTATTTTGAAAATACATTTTATCATGTTCTCTCTACTCCTACAACTTCTCTTAAATCCTTTCCCCTCCTAACCCATTCAACTATATGGTCTTCCTCTCTTTAAAAAAAATGCTAAAGCCAACCAAATAAACAGCAACAAAAACAATAAAAACATGGATGGGCTGCAGAACAACCAGGAAAAATCCCAACTTGAGGGTGATTGGAAAAAGAATGTGAACACGATGTGGCATTTCCCATATTTATTTAAATGTGAATTTTCGTTTTCAGTGAACAAAGGGAAGGAAACAGGAACACAAGCAGATATTTGGGTGAGTGGTGCAATGTCTGGTTTGGAAATCATCCAGTCTGTTTCGCTGTGTCACTGTCTTGCTTAAGCACTGCACTCACTCATTATGGTTAATCATATAGAGTATTTCTCGTCCACAGTCTATTTTGTCCTCTGTCCCAAGTAAAGCTGGAAATATCTACATAGTAAATTTTGTTGTCATGATATGGGGGAGGTGTGATACCTAAAACTAATTCATGAAAGATATGAGACTGTGACATGCCTCAGTCTTCTGACAAGTCCAAGATGGCCTTCTACCACTGAGAATTAACTGCAATAGGATGTAGATGGAAATTAAGAAACTTTGGGGTGGATTAATAGTACTTCAGCTTTCAATCGAAGACTTGTATCAAGTGTCAAAAATTTATCACTCATCCCATAGCACAAAGGTTAATGTTGTTAGCTTCTAAGAAAAACTTAGCCACATTCCTTCTTCCTTAAGTTTTGATAAGAATCCATATAATTAGCTATATTTTTTGAAAGGGATATTGGAGTGGACATGAATCCAAAAAGAACTTTGCAAAAAAAGCTACCAGAGTACTTCACCAAGTGGAACTCCATGTATTGAATGAAAACTCAGCTGCGCCAACAAAGGGTGAAAATTCTTCACTGGGTATAGGTAAGAAATATCAAATTGACTTATTATAGCACAATAAAAAGAATTGGGTCCTGGATATATTCACAGCCTATAAAGAATAGAATCTGTTATTTCCTGGAATGGAAGGCTCAGTTTATGAAACTACCACAAGAGTAGCATTCTCCACACACATGGGAGAATTAAGGACGAACTAATAACATTTCATAACTATGACAGAATACCTGAGCAAATCCACTTCTGTCATGAAAGGGTTACCTGACAGGGCTTAGATGTGGTTAGGTCACAGATTTTCATTGTCAAAGCCAATGGATCCATATGCACTGAGACAGAAATCATGGATCTACAGAATGCTGAGCAGAAAGCAGAAAGAACAAGGGACAAGCTGTACATTTCAAATGCAAACTCACAGTGGCTTATCTTCTCCAACCTAACCACTAGTATCTAGAACTTTACAAAAATACCATTAATCTGTGAATCCAGTTATATATAAATAAACTGATGATGCTGGAGGCCCCAAAAAGAACCCTCAAAGCCCTAAGTAATGAGGCCCATAATATATTGTAGGGTGTTTACACAACCCCTACTTGTCCCAGGTATGTATAGTGCATGTTTTTTAAAAAAAAAATGCTCAGAAGGGGAAGAATGTTCAATCCTCTTTGCAATACAGCTTATTATATGTGCTAGTATTTATGTATTCCTCTAGCCCCTATTTTTCTGTCAAATAAAGGACCTGATTAAGTTAAATCTCAATATCCAGTCAATCACCTCTCAATAACTACCAACTGAGGACAAAGCCTTCAGCATGTAGGCCTTATCAGGAAACATTTCACAATCAAAGGATTAATGACTAGTAGATGAATCCTCCTAGTAATTCCAACTTTCCCATATTGGTGAAAAGTATATAAAATCAGACTTCCGAATATAGGAAATCCCCAGAAAATATCATCATCATCATCACTATTGCTATAAGTGTGGAAGAACTCACTTTGTCATTACTTTCAGTGTATGAAACCAAGAGGTGCAACAGTATGATTCTTCTGGAAGCTGGAAATAACACGATGAAGATCGACTGTGATAGTGCTCTCAAAGGAAACAAGAGTGGAGGTGATATGTATAAGATTAGCATTTTCTCCTTCTAAGTGACTGGGTCAAGGGCCGTATACTCACAGTTTCCAAGGTAGAGGGACTCTAACAGTGGGTAGAAAAGATCTTCATTGACTACTGATTAGACACATCCAGAGACAAAGTTAAGGGACTCTTACAAGGACAGCATAATTTGCAGCAGACACTAACCTCTTATGGAGGCATTTTCACTAACCTCTTATGGAGGCTCCCTTCTTTTCAATTACTGTGGCTTGTGTCAAGTTGACATAATACTAGCCAGCACATAGTGTCCGAGTGTCCTCTCCCCCTCTCCCTCTCTCCCTGTCTCTCTGTGTGTGTGTTTAATATATATATATATATGTGTGTGTGTGTATATATATGAAATTCCATGCATAACACTGCATATGTGCAATTTAATGGATGCCCATTTTACTAAAAACATGAAGTTTACTTCACAGCCCACATGTAAGACATTTGTGTATCAAATCTCAAGTATGATTTCCATTTTTTTCCTCAGATGAGACTGCAGTTGCTCTTATTGCATATCAGTCCCTTGGGAAGTATCTAAATGGATCCTTTTTTAATAAGGAAGGGATTCAGGAAGTAAAGTTGAACTCTCTTATTGTGAGTGGCGCCATTCATTCAGAAGTCAAACCAGTCCTCTCTGAACCTGTACTCCTAACTTTACAAAATACTCAGGTGAGCCTACCCTCAAAATGATCTTTAAAAACAATTTTAAAGTTTAGATTTATTGCATGCACATGAGTGTTCTGCCTGCATGGACATCTGTGCACAAGAGCAAATAGTGCCCACAGAAGACAAAAAGAGTATCAGATATCTTATATCTAGACTTCCAGACAGTTATGCAGCACAATGTGGATGCTGGGTATGGAATTTGGGTCCTCTGTAAGAGCAGTAACTTCTCTTCAGTGCTGAGATAGCGTCCCTTCTGTGAAATGTCTGAAGAGGCAGATGGTCTAATCAAATTTCTAGAAGGGATGAGATCTAACTGTGATCATTGAAAAATAAGAGAAATTACAAAAAGTTTAGAAACTTCAATCCTTTATAACTTCATTACTGTTATTATCTGTATTTTCATATCAACAATCAATCAACCATGGTTCAGAAAGGGGGACACAGGCCACCATCTTCAACTGTGAAAGGATTTGATCAAAGAAGACAATGTTTTCACTTACCCTTAGGTTCAAATGGGTACTTCAAAGCCTTTGGTCACACAGATGGTCCCATTTAAATTCAGTGGCAATTGAAACAAAGCAAAAGACATTATTAATGTCATAAAAGACATTAATATTGGAAAAAGAATTATGGAAAGCTAGGATCAGTGGGGCTGTGAGGGAGATTAAAGAGGGTCAGGGGACAACTAATAAGAATACACTTCACACATATATAGAATATAGAGGACATTCAATATAAGTTACACAATTTTTAAAATTTCAAGTGTGTGTATTATGGGAATGTAGAAAATAGGGTATCATTGCACAACGTAGTTGGGAATATATAGACATTAAGGAAAACAATATAGAACCTATCAAAAATGAGAAAGAAACTGTAATGGAATTCATCAATCTTCCTATTGCGTACATCCAAAGAAGGAAAACCAAGGTTTTGGAAAGAGACTGCATTTCAATAATTCCAGTAACATTAGTCACCATAGTCAAGACTTGGGTGGGAGGATACTCACATCCATTCATGGCAGGGTATGTAAATAAAATATGAAAATATAATAAAATGTCATTTTGCTTTGGGTTATACAATGTCAAATGGTCAGGTCTGAAGATAATCAAGCATACGTGGGAATGTTTGAAGGGAGGAAAGGGAAAGAGGACATAGTAGTCAGAGTTCTTTAAAAAGAACAGAAATGGGCCAGGCATTGGTGGCACATGCCTTTAATCCCAGCACTCTGGAGGCAGAGGCAGGTGGATCTCTATGAGTTCGAGGCTATCCTGGTCTCCAGAGCACATGCCAGGATAGGCTCCAAAGCTACATAGAGAAACCCTGTCTCAAAACAAAACAAAAAGAACAGAAATGAATGACAGGATGACAGAAAGTCTAAGGATTCAGTAGTTGTTCAATTAGTGTTCAGGCCATGAGACCAGATGTCTGAGCAATCCCCGTTTGGTGATGAAGTCCAAGGGATGTCCTAGAGAGCTGCTAGTCTTCAGTCTATGTTGTGGTCCTGAAGAAGTTATATTCCAACACCAGTGAAGTTATGCATCAGCATCAGGACAGGTGAACTTTCCAGAGAGAGTGAGGGTAAAAAGACAGTACCTTCCTTCTTCCATGTCCTTTTTATGTGGGCTCCAATAAGAAGGTGTAGCTAAAATTTAGGAGGGTGTCTTCTGACCTCAAATGAAATGGATTTAGGGTGGGTCCTCAGACCTTAAATAATACAACCAAGAAAAACCCTAATATATATGTCCCAAGTGCTTGGATTTTAGTAAATTAAAGATGTAATCAACACAGGGGAAATGTTATGATTATGAGATAATTCTAAAAGCAAAAATAGTAATAAAAAACAGAAAAGAAAATAATCTTGCCTTTCAGTGCCTCAACCTGAAGGTTAAGTCCAATAAACCCTTTATAATCTCACTCACACTGGAAATCTAAACAGTTTCTGTATAATAGAGCCTACTAGGAGGTGAGTTTTGTGAAATATGGCTACAAAATCAAACTTTAAGTTATAACATTTTGGAGACTTAATGTGTCACAGCAAGACTATGAGTGAATATTGAGATGATTAAAAGTTTTTATTAATAGAAATTAGTTATACATAATAATAGGTTAAATGACATTTCATACATTTATATAATGTATGAAGATTACATTCTCCCCCCAAGTTAATGTATTTTTGTCTTTCTGTTGTGGGACACATTTCCTGGAGAGAGAAGTATAAATATCTATTCACCCCAGATATGGAACCCACAATAGAGCAAAGTAACCATGCCACCAAATTCCAATTTAGTGAAGCAATGAAATTGTTAGGTAAGGGTGAGTGGCTACTCAAAGGAGCACATATATCTAAAAGACAGGTTCCTTGCCAGAAGGACCAGCCCAGCATGGGTGAGGACTCAAGGAACCTGGAAGCCATGAGATCTTTACTTGTCTTGTTGGCAGCTCTAAAGATTAGAGTTTCCTTTCCTCAGCTGTTCTCACAGCTTTTATAACTTTAAGGAAGAATGGGACTTTGTGAATCAGGAATTGCTCGAGACTTCTGAATTGCACACTTAGCGGGCATTGGTGGTATAGTGGCGAGCATAGCTGAATTGAACACTTCCTGAATCTCAAGGAAGGAATGCTTCCACCCAGAAGAAATTGGTGTAATACATATTCTTTGCCATTTTTCCATTAAAATATAACTACCTCATTTCCCTCCTCTTTCCTCCCTCCAACACTCTCTCATATATTCCACCATTTCTCTCTCTCATATTCCTGGTCTCTTTTTCTTTAATTGCTTCTGTTGCATACATATATTTCAAGTAGAATGTATCTCCAAGATCATCACTAAAGTTAAATTGGGGGGTGATGGATATGCTTATTAGCTTAGTTCTTATCTTGGGGTTTCAATTGGTATGGCAAAATTTGACTTACACTTCCACAGGACTCCTCATCATTGAAGGAAGTCAGGATAGGAACTCAAACAGGACAAGATCCTGGGGACAGGAGTTGATTCAGAGGCCGTGGATGAGTGACACTTACTGGTTTGCATCCATATGGCTTGTTTGGCTGGCTTTCTTACAGAACCCAGGACTACCACCCCAGGAATGGCACTACCCATTATAGGATGGGCCCTCCCCCATTGATCACTAATTGATAAAATGCATTACAGCTGAGTATCTTGGAGGAATTTCCTCAACTGAAGATCTTTACTCTGTGATGATTCCAGCTGTGTCAAGTTAACATGCAAAATCAGCCAGTACAGCTCTAGTATTCCTTTTATACTGCATACTTCTATGGGTACACCCTGCAACTTAAACATGTATATTTTTCTCTGCGAATGGCCCCTCCTTAAAGCTGGGAATGAAGTGGTAAGTCACCTGTATACTTACACAAAGGGAAACTATTATCAAAACCTAACTAGACAATAGGGCCATGGAAACTGTTGAGCATACTGAGAGTCAGAGGTGGGAAAGAGGGACTGGCCTTTTCCTGGAGCAGAAAGGTGGACTGTAAAAAGACACTTGACATCTCTCTTCAAGCACTGATCTCTCACAACTACCCATCATTCATTTCATCAATGACAAGAAAATGGTAAGTCAGTTCTAAGTCAATGCACAGGGCACTGAGATATGCACAGAGAGACAGAATAAATGATGAAACAAAACTTACATGAGATGAGAGGATGTGAAATATCCCCCCATGTGTTTTCTTAATCCATTGTGTGTTGTGTTAATCTAAGAAAATAAGTTACAATGTAGAAGTGTAGCAAAGACAGGGGGATCAGGAAACGTAAGGACTGAGAAAGATTAGAGGGAAAATTAGAACGGAAATTATTAAATTGCACATGCAAGCCATTGTCACATATCTTAATTAAAGATAAACAAAAGTTGGAATTATTTTAAAGAAATGTCCCTTCCTACTGTTGTCTTTGCAGCCCATTGACCCAAGAGCAGAGCATATCTGTGTCCATTGGGAAGGATCAGAGGAAGGGGGCAGCTGGTCCACTAAGGGCTGCTCTCACATGCACACCAATGACTCCTACACCACCTGCAAGTGTTTCCACCTGTCCAGCTTTGCTGTGCTCATGGCTCTATCCCTCGAGGTATCAAGTCTTGCAGGTCTCAACTATGAAAGTGATTTTCACTTTAATATATGTCTATAAAAGTTAATTGACTGTAGGTTTGTTGAGAGATGATACCAAGAAACACCCATGAAAAAAAATGAGTGTGGTTTTGTTGCCACCTCTGTTATCTCACTGATGTCCTGTTGAAAGATTGATTGCCCAGGGTTTAATGAACTGAACTGACTGGCTAAGAATATGTCTTCCTTGCTTCTCCACCTGACTCTTCCATGTACATCCCTCTTGAAGCTACATGCTTGGTCTAAGATGGTGACCATCCATGAAAGAGGAGAGCCATGTTTTTTCTCAAATGTTAGTTACTTTACTAAAATACTGTGTAAAATACTGTGACTGAAGTCAATTTAAAGAATAAGGTACATTTTGCTGTCCGATTCCAAGGCATGGCATCCATCATGGCACAAAATGTGTGGCATCACAGCAGAAGTAGGAAGATGAGCAATCATATTTTGTCCACAGACAGGAAGCAGAGAAAGAAAAAAGGTAGGGGGAATGAATGGGGCACAGTTATAAACCCTCAATACCTTCCTAGAGAGACATATACTTTTTGGAGACATTGTACCTCCTACAGGCTCTGTAACCTCCCCAAAGTGCACCACCAACTGGAGAAGCAATGTTGAAATACACAAACTGATGGGGACATTTTCCTTTTGAACCCCCACAAAGTGCATGGGTAGCTTGACTCCCCTGATAGAATTTTTAAACAAACTCTCAAGAAATAATGGTAGTGGATTGTGGAGATAAAATGGGAACAGTATGGGTGGCAATGCAAACAGTATTTATGAGTTAATTACCACTTTGGGTATAGAGGGCTTATAGCACTCCTGGAAAATGCTTCAAATCAGTTCAGAACACACAATTCAGAGTTATTATAACTGAAGGATATTTCTTCAGTAATTTTATTTCAGCTGTGTCCAGTGGTACCATTTCCTGAAGATTTTATAGTAATAGAAAAACAAAATCATGACTCAAGTCATTTTTAAAAACACAGTGGTGGAAACATCAGGTAGATGGGTTAAGCAAAGCTGAGGAAATTCTGAGTCTTCTGTGTGTCTGGAGTAAGCACAACATATCAAGGAAAACCTTCAAATGTTGGGAAGTGAGGTTGGCAGACCCCAAAGTGGTAGGGCCAAGGGGATCTGGAATTGGACGCATTACTGCACTTCCAAAATAGTTATACCGAAATTTTCCCTGGTTGAACCAAACTAAGTCAACTGGCTATTATCAAAGATTCATCATGGCTCCCTCGAATTTCCAGAGGTCAACTATGTCTCAGGTTATTTAAATTGAAGGAAACTCACCTAATGTCTTCCTCTCCACATCAAATAACAAAATCACCAAAGCTGCCTTTTCATAAGAAATAAAAAATATTTATTTAAGGAATAAATATCAATGACAATGACCCAGTGAAACAGGTCCTGATTACTCCAAATACCATGTTTTTATAGTAAGAGAACAAATAAAATAATGGATAAAGTCAATTCAAACACAATTGTGGGACATCAAATTGGTGGACCACAGGAAGTTGGGAAAGCTGGCACAGCCTCGATGCTGATGACATTTTGAGCCTTTGGGTTAATGGAAGTTAGGAGTCTCCTTGTGCATTTCAAAAGGATCTACAGAATATACATAAGGATACTAGGTAACACACAGGTGGTAGTAGATGATACCACAGGGCTAATGACAACTATAATAATGTTATTGACATCCTGCAATGCTCCAACTTTCCCCCGTCGCAGGTTTCAGTCAGCAAGTCAGCCTTGTAGAATGTTTAAGACTTGTGATTTTTAGTCTGTAATTTAAATTTTCACTCCCCCATTTCACTTTAGCCCGTTTATTAATATTTTACTATTCAATGCCCATCATGCTGTGTACTTTCACATGCATGTTTCATTTAGTTAATATTTATCAACTGAATACTGTGTGCTAAGCACTAATCTCAACATTGGTGGTACAACAGATAACAAGCCATGGCAAGCTCCCAGGCTTCCTAGTGTTAATGTGCATGATAACTGTTGTATAGACATGGAGACGCTGAAATATTCTTCTGTGGCTTATAGGAGGACTCTGTGCTTTCTGCACTCTCTGTGATCACCTATGTGGGACTGAGTCTTTCTCTCTTGTGCCTATTCCTGGCGGCTGTCACCTTTCTCTTGTGCCGGCCCATCCAGAACATCAGCACTACACTCCACCTGCAGCTCTCCATTTGCCTCTTCCTGGCCGATCTCCTCTTCCTCACAGGCATCAACAGAACTGAGCCTAAGGTTGGTGACCGAATCAAGTTACTTCATTGTCCTAATCAATCATAGTCATCTTGTCCTGAGAAAGTTTGAAGAGGGAGAGGTTTATCTGCAGAGATGTTAGGAAGAAATGCAGGATGAAATTTTCAGCTCCTTTTCTGTGTAGAATTGGAGGAGTTTGTGTATTTGGCCATTTTGGAACTGAGAACATTCCTAACAGTAATGTTACCTGACGATGTTCTTGGTGTGTGAGTTATCTATGTGTAGTGCATGGACAGGACTGTACGGGTGTGAGCAGTTATGGTTATGAATGTAGCAGCCAGAGAAAGGTTTCAGGTGTCTACTGTGTCCTCCTTACTGACTTGAGGCATGGTCTCTCATTGAATCAAGAGCTTGCCATTTTGGCTAGGGTGGATGACAAGAGAGCTTTTCAGATATACCTGCCTCCCCAACCCCATAGTGCTGGGGTTGTAGGCACCAGGCACGCACAGACATGTCCAACTTTTATGTGGTTGTTTGGAATTAGAACTCATGTCCTCATGTTTGCAAAGCAAGTGCTCTTACTTACTGAGTCATCGCCCAAGCCACAACTAAGTTTCAGAATATCTGTTAATAGAGGTAAACACATACATTTGAGGTATGCCCATTTTTCACCAACATGCTAAAGATACCTCTGTTAACATCTATACATAGCTTAAAAGTCACCTTTAGGGCCAATGGAAATGGTAAAAATACAATATACTGTAAGAGGGAAGTTCATATGAATCAAACCAGGAGTGCATACAACTACTTTTCATACTTTAATTGTTAGAGTCCTGCCACTTGGTCCCATCAAACTACAGGGCATGCTGGGTGATGTTGTTTTTGGCTGGGAAGTTCTTTCCCTACCTACCAGACTCCAGAATCAGGAGTATGATTAGAGGCTTGAAGTGATTGACAGTCAATTTGATACTATGCTTTGAAGGTGATTTTTATCTTTTTATCCTTGTTGCTGTTTGGACTTGTTGAAGTGACTTCTCACATTGATAATGCAGCGAAATAATATTGAATCATTTTTGTGGACAAATTTGTCCATACTGATTGTGTACACAATGTATTTTTTAGAATATTTTATAACATGAAATATGCGCTTTATGGTAGTTATGGGTCATGGGTTTGAACTTGTTGATGAGTTAACCTCAAATATAATGATGATAAGGATGGGTCCCAATAATATAGCAGAAAACTGGCAATAATTAAGTGAATTCTTCAAATTAGCCAGCAACAATGCATTTTAATATTTCTAGCACCAGCACAAAGAAACGGTATATGTCTGGATGATAAATATGTCAATGACACTAACTTGATCATCCCATGCTGTGTACACATATTGAAGTGTTATAACATGCCAGAGGACTGTGTTCAGTTAGTAGGCATCCATTACAATAATAATGCATTGTTTCTGTAGTCAGTCACTTGGGAAGCTTTAAGAGGATTGTGAGTCAGAGGCCAGCTCTGGCAACATAGTGAGACTCTAGCTCAAAATAAATAAATAAAAATACAGAAAAGTGGTGGGCTTGTCAAGAAGGGATTGCTACACTGGGCTTAGGACTCATCAATACTTCGTTTTTGATGTTGTGAGTGATTTTTGTAAAGAAGGACAAGGGTTTCCTTCTAAATGTCTCTGCTCTTCTGTCACAGGCTGATGTAACAAAGGAAGTGTTATCAGACTTTGAAGGTCCCCAGTGGAGGGCTTTACTATCCCTGGGGAGGATTTGGGGGGGTGGGTTGGGGAGGTTGGTGGGGAACATGGGAGGATGGGAGGGTGAGGGCATGG